TGAAGGCCAATTTATATCCATTTGTTCTTGTGCCAAGATTGGTGCTTAACTTAAATAACTCCTCTCACTCCCAGAGGGTTAATCTATCTGATGTATTTATAGAGAGCAATCATATCTCCCTTCAGCCTTCGTTAGCATAGACTAAACAAGCCAAGCTCCTTCAGTCTCCTCTCAGAAGGTCGGTTTCCATTCCTCTGATTATGCCGGTAAGTCGTGTCTGCGCCTGTTCCTGTCTGAGTTCATCCCTCTTAAACATGGGAGATCAGAGCTGCACCCAGTGCTCCCGATGAGTTCTCACCAGTGTCTTGTTCACTGGTGATAATGCTTCCCTGTCTATACTGGCATCCTGGGGCTGCTTTAGCCTGTTTCACAGCTGCATTACACTGAGGGCTCGTAGTCATCCTGTGATCAACCAATACACCCAGATCATTCTCTCATCTCCCACCCCCTTGCCCCATTGCTTCTTCCACATGATAGCTCCTGAGTTGTTCTGAATCCTGTTAAGAGGTGCTAATAACTAATTAGATGCAATCCCAGTGTGTAGAAAGAAGAGCAAAGCAGGCGACCAGCTTGACTTACGAGAGAAATCTCTTGTGAGTGTAAACACAAAAAGGAAGACGACTAGGGAGGACTATACAAATTTTGCTCAAGCATGCAGGGAGTAATCAGGAAGGCCAAAGTGAAAATGGGTTTGCAGCTAGCAAGGGATGTGAAGAATAACAAGAAGGGTTTCTCCAGGTATGAAAGCAACAATATGGAGGTCATGGAAAGTGTGGCTCTCTAACTTCATGGGGAAGGCAACCTAGTAACAGACAATATTAACTGCAAATACTCAGTGCCATTTTTTGCCTTGATTGTTACGGACGAGGTCAGCTCTCAGACTGCTGCACTAGGCAGCACAGTATGGGGAGGAGGGGTGAAGTCCTCATTGGTGAAGGAACTAGGGTAAGAACTGTTTAGAAAAGCTGGACATGCACAAGCCCATGGGGCTGGATCTAATGCATCCAAGGGAGCTGAGAGAGTTGGCTGATACGATTGCAGAGCCATTGGCCGTTATCTTTGAAAACTTGTGGCAATCGGGGTGGCCCCCAAACAGCTGGAAAAAGGCATATATAATGTGGCTCTGCAGACAAGTTAGCCTCACCTTAGTCCCTGTAAAAATCATGGAGCAGGCCCTGAAAGAATCCATTTTGGAACACTTGGAGGAAAGGCAGGTGACCAGGAACAGTCCACATGGATTCACCAAGGGCAAGTCATGTCTCACCAACCTGATTTCCTTCTGCGATCAGATAACTGGCTCCATGGATATAGGAAAAAGTGGTAGACATGCCATAGCTTGACTTAGCAAAGCTTTTAATATGGTCACCCAGCATATTCTTGCCAGCAAGTTAGAGTAGTATGGCTTAGGGGAACCGACGGTAAGAGGGATAAAAGCCGGCTAGATTGCTGGGGTCAACAGGTAGTGGTCAACAGCGCGATGTCTAGTTGATAGTTTGTATCAAGCAGAGGGCCCCAGGATCAGTTCTGGAGCCACTTTTGTTTAACGTCTTCATTAATGACCTGGATATGAGCAGATGGATTGCACTCGCAGCAACTTTGCAGGTGATACTAAGCAGGGGGAAGAGGTAGATATGTTGAAGGGCAGGGTCCAGAGTGACCTGGACAGAATGGAGGGTTGGACTGAAAGAAATCTGATGACATTCAACAAGGACAAGTGTAGAGTCCTGCACTTAGGACAAAAAAAAATCCCATGCACTGCTTCAGATGGGGAACCAACTGGCTGAGTGGCAGTTCTGCAGAAGAGGACCTGGGGATTACAGTGAATGAGAAGCTGGATATGAATCACCAGGGCGCCCTTGTAGCCAAGAAGGCTAATGGCATATTAGGGTGCATTATGAGGAGCATTGCCAGCAGATCTAGGGAAGTGGCTTGATTCGACACTGGTGAGACCACATCTGGAGTATTGCACCCAGTTTTGGGGGCCCTGTTACAGAAACAATTTGGACAAATTGGAGAGGGTCCAGCAGAGGGCAACAAAAATGATTAAGGGCTGGAGTGCACAACTTACGAGGAGAGGCTGAGGGATTTGGGCTTATTCAGTCTGCAGAGAAGAAGAGTGAGGGGGGAGTTGATAGCAGCCTTTAATTACCTGAAGGGGGATTCTAAAGAGGATGGAGAGAGGCTGTTCTCAGTGGTGGCAGATGACAGAATGAGCAGCAATGGTCTCAAGTTGCAGTGGGGAGTCTAGGTTGGATATTAGGAAAAACCTAGGATGGTGGGCAAGCGCTGGGATGGGTTATGTAGGGAGGTGATGGATTCTCCGTCCCTAGAAGTCTTTATGGCCAGGCTTGACAAAGCCCTGGCTGGGATGGTTTATTTTGGTCCTTTTCTGAGCAGGGGGTTGGACTACATGATCTCCTGAGGTCTCTTCCTTCCCTAATCTTCTGTGATTCTATTAAGCTAAAATGGCAGTTCAATGTAAAAACAAATTACAGCTTTTTTTAAACAGCTTAACAGGTTCTGAAGTGTTGTCCGGAGATGTCACAGCGCACAGAGGTGTGCTGCGAAGTGGAAAAGGAGCAGTCAATCTATGTATAGATCCGAAATCCTTTGCACAGACCTGTTTCCTCCTCCTCACTTATGTAACCCTACAAAACTGTCAGTCGCAGGTAACTCAGCACAGGAAGCGCTGAAAATGACTCAGGCCCTCTGTGTTTCTGAGCAGGATGTCACTGCAAAGCAGCTATGTTCAGTGCAGGCTGGAAAGTGCGAACGTTGCAGCAGACGAGCTGTGAGGCTGGGGTAGGAACAGTATCAAGTCTTGGGGCTTCGGTCAGAGCCAGTTCTTAGCCAGCCTGCCCGGCTCTCCACCCTGCTGCATGAGGCAGGAGGGGTTTCTGGCCACAGGGCTGGGGCACAAGGCTGAGCTGACTGGAAGTTGGGGAGGATGGGCTGGGTTCAAGACATTAGGCAACTACAGAGATGAGAGGCTGGACGGCGCCAAGCGATGGGCAGTGCGGAGGCCCCGGAGGGAGACCCACCAAGCACTGTGGCAGAGTCGGGGGGGGGGGTGCTCTCTTTCTGAAAGAGCAACTCTGACCCGACCAGGGTCACTCCCTGTGGCTCTCCAGCCTGTGCGAGGCCAGAGCTCAGATGGGAAAATCACCGTGTCCCTTCTGGCCTGGAAAGCTCTGAGTGTTCAAGGCCTGAGGCACGGGGGAGCTAAGCCAGCATGGAGCGTGTTCAAGCAGTAGGGCCTGGCCAGGGCTGCAGTTGGGTATTGCAGCATGGGGGGCTGACCAGGCACTAGCCCTAGAGATGCCTTCCAGCCGCTGGGCCTTTCAGCACTCTACAAGTGCTGCATTGGCACCGCTGTGGGCACCTGGGGCAGACGCTCTGTGCCAGCAGGAGAGAGCTGGCCCGTCATAGAATCACAGAGCTGGAAGAGACCTCCGGAGTCATCGAGTCCAGCCCCCTGGCCAAGGCAGGACCAGCCCAACTCAATCAACCCGGCCAGGGCTTTGTTCAGCTGTAGGGATGGAGATTCCACCCCCTCCCCAGGGAACCCAGCCCAGCGCCTTAGGGAAATAGTGAGATCACCCTAATGTCATCACCTCACAGACATTAACCTTCCCCCTCACCCCGCCTCTCTTCTAAAACTTGATTTGTCAGTTTTATGTGTTCGCTTTTTTTGATTGTATCCTCTGGTATGTATATATGGTTGTGACTATTTTCTTCCACTGTTTGATCTGAGGAAGTGGGTCTGGCCCACGAAAGCTCATCATCTAATAAACCATCTTGTTAGTCTTTAAAGTGCTGCATAGTCCTGTTTTTTGTTTTCCTAGGGAAATAGTTTTTCCTAATAATTTCTATCACTGTTCCAACAGTAGGCTCAGTGCTCCAAGGGATTTTTTTCTTTTACATTTTTAAAAGATATTTTTCCATAAGCAAAGAAAAAGCTCTTGTGGGTAGGCTCCCATTGAAAGGGCATAGGGGTAAGATGCCAGGACACCCTTGCTTACCATCCATGATGATTACTGGAAACTTCTTGGTGGGCGGGGAGCCCCCCCCGCCAAAACAGTGCGGCTGCGCATGCTGCACGTCGGTCTCTGTAGCTGCCCTTGCTGAAGCGGTTATGCCGGAGTAAGTGGTGCTGTAGGGCTCGCCTGTCTCATGCAAATCCAAACAGCATCCCCAGCCTCTGAAATCGTCACCTTAGCGGCAGCTTGGGTCAGAGCTGGTGAGAAGGGCCTCTCCCACTGCTTTTCAGAAATGTTGCTGAGTGGGCTATCCACATCTCAGGAGTGGCTGACTCATCCTTGCTCAGACTTCCCGCAGTGATTCACTGTGACCGAGGGGGGCTGGAGAACGTTATCCTCACAAGCCAAAGAATCCGCAAGATCTTGCCACCAGCCCCTAGGCACCCTGAACTATTCTGTCCCTGGCACGCCAGCGGTACCTCTGTTACTGGAGGGTGGTTCAGCTCTGGTCCTGAGACGCTCTAGGGCAGCAGGTTTCAAACTTGTTTTCTCATGACCCAGTTGAAGAAAATGCTTGAGCCTGCAACCCAACATAATGTGACTGAAGTGTGGGCTGCAGGGTGGGGCTGAGGATGAGAACTTTAGCTTTGGAGGGGGAGCAGGGATGGGGTAGGAGGCTAGCTTCCTGCCTATCCTGGCACTGCAGGCCATGCTGCACCCCAGAAGCAGCCAGCAGCGGGTCCTAGCGAATGGGAGCACGCAGCTAGTGCTCAGAGCAGGAGCAGGATCTGGTGCAGCAGCGGTGCAGGGTCTGAGAGGGTGTTCGGGTGCTGGAACCTTCCACACCCCAGTGGTGCTGTGGGCATGTGATTTATGAAACTCGTGGGGTCCAGATGCGTTGGAAAGTGTCTTTCTCTGCTGGTTTCATTGGGGTTTCCCGGTTCTGCCCTGCTTCCCGAGGGCCGACGTTCCGGAAAAGAGACACTGCCGTAGTGCTGACGCTGCGCTTTCCTTTTGCAGAGAATGTGATCAAGGGGCAGGACTATGAGGTGATGATGCAGATCGACTGTGAAGTGATGGACACCAGGATTCTGCACATCAAGAGCTCCTCCATTCCACAGTACCTTCGAGAGCAGCAAGGGAATCGGAGCAGCCCCTTCTACGGCCCTGCTCCCACTGTCCCCGGGACCGCCCACAGCATGAGCGCCGTTGTGGAAACCCTGCAGTAGTGCCCAGGAGCATGAGGAAGCAGAATGATTGGGTGATGCCAGGACAGCCTTCCCCACTGTCACCGCTCCAGCCCTAGGCCCTGCCACTTGCAGTTTAGTCTGGCCTTTCCAGGACTCCTAGAGCCCAGCCTGGGCCTGATGCCAGCACTGAGCCCCCTCCTCAGATGCACTGTTTTAGCAGAACCCCGTGACGCCGCCCTGCCCGGCACCCACGTCGCCTTTTCTTGTCTGAGCCAGTGATCGCCCCGGGCTCTGTTTGCCTTTGAATGGCCACCCTGCAGGGGTCTGAGTGGCGCTATGGCCTGGTGGGCAGCGAGCAGGGCTGTGTGATCTGGAATCACTCCCTTGACTCCCATGTGTACATTGGCGCTAACCCAGCCCTTCCTCCCAGGTCTGATCAGCCCCAGTGGAGGGAGGCTCTGGTCGAAGCCCCGTGTCGTCGTATTTATTTAGTACTCAGGCGTGTGAATGGGCCCGTTTACTTGTGGAGGGACAAGTGAGGCAGGATGCCCTCGACCTGGCAGCACCTTTGCCAGGGAGGGCTGAGCTCCCCTCTGCTCCCATTTGGCGCTTAGTACCAGCACCAGGCTGGGACAAAAGGATGCTGGCCGGGCCCGGCAGGCAGGAGGGTGGCTCTAGGCAGGCCTACAGCTGAGCTCCATGCTGCCCAGCACCAGCACACACTGCATGCCCCCCCAGCCACACAAGCATTGGGATCCCCCAGTCTAAATTCCCCAGGTAGGAGTTGTCCAGTCCAGGAACTATCGCCACAAGCTCTGGCTGCTGAGGCGAAGCCTGTTTCCCTGAAATCCCCTTCTAGCCAGCAGCCTCCCTTCCTAAGCACACTCCTCTCACAGGGAGCAGGAGTTCCTGCCAGCTGATTCCTTGCTAGGGCATTCATGCTGCCTCCTCCTGGTGTGCAGCGGCAGCACTAGCCTGGGATCGTCTGTCCCCGGGGAAGCCAAGCCATGTGCATCTCATGGCCGTGGGGGCAACCAGCTGTTTCCTGAAAAGGAGTTATGGGGAATGCACCGAATGTTTTCACAAGGAAGCCGCTGTGTGCCCTGTGCGAACAGAGCGGGTTGGTTTGCAGGGCTTATAAGGAGCCAGCACCTTGGTTTGCCAGGCAGTGACCTCGCTGTGGTCTGTCAGGTCAGACACAGTGGCCCCAGCTCCCCTGGAAAGGTCCTGGCCACAGTCTAGCTGCTGGTGCAACATGGAGCTTGTCTAGAGCAGAGCAGAACAGTCTGAAGCTCCTAGGCCAGTCACTTGGGAGGTGGTGTCCCTGCTGTGTCCCTCTGTGTGTTTAGAGCAGGGGCAGGCCACATCCGGCCCGCCGAGCTGCCGAATCTGGCTCACGGGCTGCCCTGTTGGGATCCTCAGGCACGGCAGCACCACAACACTTAAAGCAACTGGCTGTACCTTGTGGCTCTCTGCATCTGGGGATGGGGGAGGCTTCGTGCGCTGCCCCTACTCCCAGCACAATCTCTCAGCTCCTATTGGCTGGAAATGGACACAGGCTCCCCTTTCCCCCGCATCCAGGGAGTGGCCTGGGACTGCAGGAGGCAGGGAGCCTGTCTCGGGTTCTGCAGGGCTGCTGGCTGGGAGCCACCTAGGTAAGCACCTCCTGCTCAAAGTCTGCACACACATCCCCTCCCAGATCCTGCACCTGAATCCCCTACCCCAGATTACAACCACCTCCTCTCTCACCCCACACCCTCTCCTGCACCTCAGTCCCCCACCCCATGCTCCCTTCTGCACCCAACCTCCATCCCAGACCCCACATCCCTGCCACAGAAAAGTCTGGAATCTTACCAAAATCTTGGAGTGGCCCACATAAAAAAATCATTGCCCATCCCCAGTTTAGTCCCTGCCGTGTATTCCAGACAATACAGGATTTGTGGTTTTGAAATGTCGTGTGTGAGCAGCGTGGCCCTGATCCAAGTTACTGGTCAGCGTGCCGAGCTGTTTCTTGTACTTCCTGTTATGGGATGTTCAGTTTCTGTTACTCTCCTGGGTCTTTTTTGCTTGTGTGCGCCCTAGTCTTTACTGGAGCGTGGGGAGCAGCCCACGCTGCATTGCAAGTTACAGGCCAGACAGGTGTCTGTATTGCTGTCACTGAAGGAGATCTGTGCGTCACCCTGAGAAGTGGTTTACCTGACAGGTTGGTTTAATTTCACTCATGCTTCTTCTACATTTTTAACAAAACAATGCCCTTAATTTTGTCCACTGCAGTCCCCAGGTCCTTTTCTGCAGAACTGCTGCTTAGCCAGTTGGGCCCCAGCCTGTAGCAGTGTTTGGGTTTCTTCTGTCCCCAGGGCTGGCCTCTCAGACCTGCACCCATAGCACTGCTCCGAGCCCACGGCAGCATGGAGGAAAGCGCCTGGTGCTGAAAGGCACAAGCGTGGACCCTGCACCTGGAGCTCTGGAAGTTGTGCAGAGATGGGCTCCATAGGAGGCATCAGCAAAGCCCAAGCCTGGCACATGCAGCCCAAGGAGCCTGGGGGGGGGGGGTTTCCAGGGGCCCATGTAGCTGCCACGCCCAGAGTGTCAAGTTAGCAAACAAGGGCCTGCTGCAGTCCCTGCCTCCTTTGCACGTTCCCCCACTTGCCCGGGCTGTGGGTGAGCCACTGCTGGCCTGAAAATAGAGGAGTGCCTGGCCTCCTTTCCCAGCTCCTGTGGCCAGCCCGCCCAGGCCTGCATCAGCAGAGCATTTGCCGTTAATTTTTCTGCCACCTGCGAGTAAAACAAACCCAAAAATGCCCCCAGCAATTGCAAAGGTACAAGACTGTTTATTACTGGACGTGTGTAAATACAAGCAGCCACTGGCAGAGCAGCACGTGTCCGACGGGCTGAGTGGCAACAACATGGGGCAGGACCACGTAGACGGACCTGCAGGCCAGGAGGAAACCTGAGGCCCAAGCTACGCTGCTAGGACGGAGCATTTAGTGGGACTGTGCTGCTCTCAGGCCAGGCAGAATGAGGGAGCAGCTCCGGGGAAATGTGACCAAATGGCAAAGCTGAGCCACTGCCAGGGAGATGCCAGTTAAGCAAATACGGCTCTTGTCCGGTGCCCGTCAGCCAGGGTTATTTACCACCAGCTGAGCCTCCTGCCCATTGCTGCCAGCGGGGCAGAGGGGCTGAGCTCATGCCAGGTGTGGGCCCGTCCCACAAAGGAGGCTGCAGAGCAGAATGCTGGTGCCACGACTTCCAATGACTGTTGAGTTAAGGCCTGTGGCTCTCTGCAGGCCAGAGACGTCATCCCCAGAACGGACAGGCCTTGCCACCATCACGCACATGCCACGCTTGGGCCATTTGTTTAGTAAAGTAACTAGCTGTATTTATAGTGTCCCTTCCGTCGCAATGGTGCACTGTTCAGAAAGGAACCGGGATCTGCGCCTTTCCCAGGAGCCACCCCGTGCAGATGGGCTCCCAAAGCCATTGCCTGCCCGTCCTTCCTGCTTGGGGCAGTGTCAGTGTAAAAAAGAAGCAAGGTTACACCAAAAATAAAGGGCTTGATTCTGGCCTGTGGACTGATCTACAATCCACTTTAAAAACAGCATTTCCTCTTGGATTTGTACAAAATACTAATAGTACCAGGGGCGGGGCCCTTTCCGTGAGTCCTGTGGCCAGGGTCTCAGTAAGCAAAGATCACGTGGTATGTGACCTGGTGCCCGTTGTCCCAGGCGTAGAGCAGGCGGTCCTTGGGGTTATAGTCTATCTGGGTGATGTAGGCGTACTCGTTCTCGAAGAGCAGCCGGGGGATGATCTGCGTGTTGGTGTGCGTGTCGAAGGCGTACGAGATGTTGGCGTTCCGGTGGTTGTAGCTGTCAACGGCGTAGAGCACGCCACAGATGACAAAGCAGTTCCCGTAGAAGTTCCGGCGCAGGCCAGTCCGCCACGTGGTCTCCTTCTGCGTGCTCAGGTCGGCAGCGTTCAGTTTGCTCAGGACAATGACCTCCTGGCTGAAGCCTTCATAGCTGATGGCTGGGTAAATGACCCACAGGCCGTTCTCATCCACAGCGAAGTCTATGTCAGAATGGCCCTGCCACCGCCACGGCGTGGCCTCCTCATAGGCCACATCAGGCAGCATGGCCCAGGCAGCCACAAACCTCTGCTTCAGGTCATATTTAATGATGTTGCGGGTGAAGGCCCGATTGTAGTAGAGGGAGCCATTGTAGACAGCGTGTCCGGTCCCAATCCAGCTGTAGGGGAGCTTGTAGGAATTGCTCCAGCGCCCTGGACAGCAGAGACATTGCACCAATTAAAGCTGGGCTCTCCGGGTTCACGCTCCTGTGCCCAGCTCCTGGAGGCCCCTTGCCCCATTCACGGGTCACTGCGTCCTCTCCGCCTCAGCTGCTGGCGCCCATGGGCACCTGCTGTGCCTGGGATGTGGCAAACCCAGGCCATGGCACCCAGAGCCACTCGACAGGGCCAGCAACCCATTGCCCCTCCCCTTCCCTTCCTCACCCAGCTCGGCCCAGAGTTTGCTGGGATAAGTGGCCCCAACCCCCCCACACCATGCTGCTCTAGCGCATGTAGGCGCACGCCTGGCCCCCTCGCCACCGGGCCCAAGTGCCTCACTCATCTGATGCTGCTCCACAAGCACCCGCAGCTCAGCTCCTCCCCATTGGCTCAGGTGAAGTGAGGCTCTGCGCTCCAGGTGTGCAGGTTGCCTGGCTGGTGCCCTAATTCCTGGCCATCCTCTGAACCCACTTCCTCCCAAACTCCCCTCCCTGCCTCCATCACAGAGCTCATCTGCTCTGTGAAACACTGGCCCTGTGCTGCATGCTGCCTCCACCCGACTGCCCTGTGTCTCCACCACCAGCTGTCACCTCCCCACCCACCCTGGGGACTTTCACCCCTCTCTCTCGGGGACCCAGACACTCCCCCTGCTGGCTGATTCTAGCTGGGCGTCTGACCCTTCTCCGGTGGCCACTGCCCGGCCGCTTGCCTGACCCTGGGCTCTCGCTCTCAGCAGGGAACGCTCAGTGCTTCACGGCAAGGCGCTAGGGCAAGGGGGCTGGGCCTCCTGCCCCCGTGCAGAGCTCCCAGGAATCCTGCCAGCACCAGCACCACAGGGTACATTCCGACTGGGCACTGCTGAAGCATTGGGGAGCCGAGTCAAGCCCAGGAGACAACCCTTTTCTCATGCAGCTGGTCCCCAGACGGGGCAGACTGCCCACGGCCCACGTGCAGGGACGCACAGTGACCACCACCAGTAAGGGGGCTGGGAGGGCCGTACCTTGTTTGAAGTTCTCCAGGTTTCGAAATTCAACCAGGGTGTTTCCATAGTAGTAGTTGGTGACGTAGATCCGCTCGTCTTTGGCTAGCGGATCCTTCATCCAAGCACCTTCATTCCGCCCATAGGTGTTCTGGGTGGTGGGGCCCGAGATGGTGGAGAGCGTGTCCTTGCAGCGTCCTAGGGCAAGCAAAAGGAGCAATCACTCATTTTGCAGTCACTGGGGGCACAGGGTCTGTGCTGAGCCACGGACCAAGGCATGAGCCTACGTCACTTCTTAACAAGTGCAGCTCCATCCTCCCTAGCGGCTTCCGAAATCGTGGCCATGAATTGTTCCCCAGGGCTGGCCCCAGGAGTTCTGCCATGCCTGTGGCCTGCAGGGCCCTCTGGGGCAAAGGCCACTCCCATTGGTAAAGTACCCATCTGCCTGCTCCCCTGGAGATGGATGGCAAATGTTCCTCATGCCTTGGCCCTATCCTGGACTCAGGCCAGCACTGCATGAGCTGCGAAAGTCACACGGCTCCGGGGAACCTCGGCCATGTTACTTGCCAGCCAAGTTTGTTGGGGTTCTCCAAAAGCTGCCAGCCCTGGCGACCCCACCCCACAGCTGAGAACCGCGGCTCTAGGCAGCGCTCTGCCCAGTGTACAGGCTGCTGGGAATGGTTCGGCTCCCCTCTCCCCCATGCATCATCCGGACAACCTGGGCAGTGGGGCCCCTAAAACCAGGTCACATCCCAGGTCATGCAGGGCAATGCTAGCAGAGAGGGGACTGAACCCTAACCAATGGGCCACCCTTCTGTCCTGGGCTCCAGCGGCTGTTGGGATCCTGCTGTGCCACAACCCCCTTAGCTGCTCAGCTAAGCTAGCTTAGAACACAGGCCCTGCCACGAGCCCGGCCCAGCACTCAGCTGGCCACAAGCCACGCACTCACCAATGATGCTTCTCAGATCCTCCTCCTCTAGGCTGGGCCTGGGCGGGGTAGGGCGGGTAGTCGCCGCTGATACCGCTTTCGTGGAGGAAACAGCACGTGTTACAGGCGGAGTCGAGCTGTCGACGGGGGTGGTTGCCATAGCAATTGTAGCTGGGGTGGCTGTGGGCAGGAGCCCTGCAGTTGTGGGGGCCTGGGTTCCTGCCTGGGTCCCAGCTGCTGCTGTCCACGTGGCTGGTTCCTCTCCTGCCCCTGTGGTGGTGGTGGCTGGGGGTGCGGCCGTGCTACGCAGTGCATTCGGCATGGTGGGAGCTGCCAGGCTGAGGGCCGGTGTCAGGGCCGCAGAGGACAAGGGCAGAGCCCCGGTGGCAGTTTCTGCTCCCGCAGGGGCAGCACGGGAGAGGTGCTGCAGTGTGGGGGCGGCGTCTGTCGTTGGCGTCCTCGTGGGGCTGCTTCGCTCTGGGCTGGAGTGCCTCAGCAGCTGGTCTTCCACTAGCAAATCCACGGTGTGATCCCCGCTGAAGGCTTCGTCCTCTGCCAAGCAAACACACATCGCTGGGAGCTGGGAGGGCAGAGCCAGCCCCTAGCCGCCGGGCGAGCACCCCAGCGTCAGGCGGACCCAGCACTCTGCCTGCCCACACTTCCTGCGTGGGCACCTTGGGGATGAGCCGAGTGGCTCAGGAAACCCCCAAATATTCGACATGGAGCGTGGGGGTCACTGTGCAGTGCTGCTAGTGGGCTCTGGGGAAGGCAGAGTGCAATACCACCCAGCCGTCTCCTGACTTGGTGCTCTGCATCGCCCCAGAGCCCGGAAAAGGCGTGTGCCCAAATAGCTCTTCTGTTTAGTGCTATTAATATTTGTGTTTAGCAGCCTTGAGTTCACACGGGGGGTAACTGTAGGTCCCCGATTTCCAAGCAAGGAGCTGGGATTGTGCACAAGGTCACTGCAGACAAAGCTGGAACCAGCATTCACATCTCTGATACAAAAGCACCAACACTTTTCTACCTTGCCTGCCTGCCTGCCAGCAGGGCCTGGCCTCTCTGGGGCGTCTGCAAGGCCCGCTACACAGTGCAGCCCCTCTACTTGCCTAAGAGAGCTGGGTTTTAACACAAGCCTTAGCAGCCTCTGCTTTGTCATGTCCTGGGGAGCCCAGAGCTAATCCCCAGAGAAGCCCTGAACACTGGTGCTATTACGTGCGCTCAGCTGGCTGTGACCGCCAGACCGCACCCTATTCCCGGAGCCCGACCACTGCAGTCTCACGGGGGACCCACTGGCCTTATGGGTGCTGGCTGGTGGGAAGGGCTGGTAGGAGAAAACAGTCTGCTTCCCCCCGCCCTCCACTGATGATGGAGCAGGCTACACTGTAGACATAAAAGGCTGCGTCTAGACTGGCATGATTGTCCGCAAATGCTTTTAACAGAAAAGTTTGTCCGTTAAAAGCATTTGCGGAGCAGAGCGTCTAGATTGGCAGGATGCTTTTCCCCAAAAGCACTTTTTGTGGAAGAGCTCTAGATTGGCACGGATGCTTTTGCGCAAAAGCACTTTTTATGGAAAAGTGTCCGTGCCAATCTAGACGTGGTTTTGCACAAGAAAGCCCCGGTCGCCATTTTCACCATCGGGGCTTTTTTGCGCAAAACAAATCTGAGCTGTCTACACTGGCCCTTCTGCACAAGAGGACTTTTGCCCGAACGGGAGCAGCACAGTATTTCCACAAGAAGCGCTGATTTCTTACACGAGATCGTCAGGGTTCTTGCGGAAATTCAAGCAGCCAGTGTAGACAGCAGCTGCTTTTGCGGAAAACCTTGCCAGTCTGGACACGGCCAAAGGTTACACGGTCAAACCCTGCTAGTGACACACGGGGCAGGAAGAAGAACATTGTCTAGGGCATTCAGCATAATTACAGCAATGCCTCTGCGTTCCAAGCCATTGCTGGAGCTGCAGCAATGTCTGATTTAGTGCTGCATGTTTACGAGTGGCACTGTGGTCGGGGGCTGCCCTGCAGGAGAAGAACACCGTGGTCAGAGGCTGAGACCTAGGCACAGACCACCTGCACGCTGCCCCTGCCCTGCTCAGCCGCTCAGGGAGTAGTGGCAGAAGGGAGGGGCCAACTTGTGGAGGTCGTGGCACCACTCACTCAGCTTGGGCCCGGCTACCTCCCTCAGCCGTGTGAACCTGCTGCTTTCTATTCGCACAAGGAGCTGTCTGAGGGTGGAATTGGTTCCTTCTCCCTGGGGAGGGCGCTCAGGGTGACTGCATCTGGCTGCCCTTCCTGGTAAGGCCTGCACCTGGGCCCTCAGGCGAGGCCTCCACGACCGCACAACTGCCTGAATAGCAGCTGAGCACTTCAGCACTGGAGAATGGAGACCAGTGTTCAATGGTTCTCCAGGGCTGATGTCCCAGGGCCAGGAAAGGTCATTGCCCAGCAATTTCTTTGCAGGTTCATGACTGACAGCTAGTTTGGGCTTTAATTGTTCCAATGGGCCTATTAACCTCCTGACCCACTGAAGCGCCACATTCTATGGGGAAGCAGGCACTTCACCTCTTGCTCTCATTGCCTCTGGCTCAGCAGGCAAGTCACCCTTGCTCACTTTGTGTCCAAGAGAGAGCTGCTTTTGCGCCAATGTAGTAACACGGTTCGTCTTCTCCTGCCCCCTGCGGAACTCTGCCCTGTTCTCTGCAAGGCGCTCAGCCCAGGTGCAAACACCCTGCATCACCCTTTCAGCTTCCCTAGTGCTCTTCAGAATACCCTTACTGCTGTCTGGCCTGACATCCTCCCGGCACCTCACAAGGGTATCGGAAACACCAAGTACTCACTGAGGGGCGGACAGGCTGTGTACAAAGCGTTATGGAGACAGGCTAGAAGTATATTCGTAACGTGTGTGGCAAGCAATACAGACACAGGGTGCCCTAGACACCGAGTGCCTAACCAGCATGGTCCTCGGGCAAAGCTAAGGAAGGTCCATTGACATACAGGATAAACAACTACATCAAGCCAACACAAGCGGGAGGCGACAGCAGGAAAAGGAAGCGTGGGCTGTGGTTCACTGTTCAGAGCATACATTGCAAAGGGCTATTGCTTTGTAACATTGGGGATTGGCTCTACTGATAAACAAGTACAGCAGCTGACTGTAGACAGTATTGGCTGTGTCTACATTGGAAAGATTGTGCACAAAAGCAAGTGCTTTTGCACAAAATCTTGCCGCTTGTCTACACTGGCTGCGAGTATTTGCGCAAGAACACGGACGTTGTAATGTACAAAATCAGGGCTTCTTACGCAAATACTCTGACACTCCCGCTCAGGGATAAGCCCTCTTGTGCAAGTGTTCTTGTGCAAGAGGGCCAGTGTAGACAGGCAACGTTAATTTCTTGCACAAGAAAGCCCAATGGTTAAAATGGCCATCAGAGCTTTCTTGTGCAAGAGAGTGTCTACACCAGCACAAATGCTTTTGCGCAAAGGCACAGGCCAGGATAGACGCTCTCTTGCACAAATACTTTTCCATTAAAAGTATTTGTGCAAAATCATGCCAGTGTAGACACAGCCTATTAATGTACTGGGAAGGGCTTGTCTGAAAGCTAATGACACTGGTGATTAATATCATTGTGAGGTGTCTGCATTAGCACGATTGGAGGAACTACAGATAGTCACTGATCGTATGCTTTAAAAGTCTGTGACCAAACACAGGGAGCAATAGGTTCCCACCCAGACAGGAGGGAAGGCTGCTGTCTATAGGTCCCCAGGGAGTTTAAGCAAAACCAATGGAAGCTTTGTTGCCATACAAATCGGCAAGGGGACAGGCAGGTCAGCGGAAGGAGAAGACCAGCACACAAACAGTGAGTTTGGGAAGCGAGTGGAAAGAGAGGAAGCCATTTTGGCATGCTGGCTGGACAGACAAAAGGGGCCAGAGCTTTTACAAGATGAGCAAGATGGATCCTTTGGCCCAGGGGGTTGAAGTTTCTGGGAATGAAAGCTTGGTAGGGCCTTGGACACAGACTGTAGCTTGCTGAGTCCTTGTCATTAGAAAATGTATTTTTTACTTGTAATGGTTTACAACCCTTCTAACTTTATTCCTCCTCCTTGGCAGCCCCTGACCTGTCCTTTTGTTAACACAGTAAAAGCTTTTACTCCTGCATGTTGAGGGAATGGGGGTGCCGATATGTGAAACTTTCTGGTTAAATGAGAGAGAGGGTTTGAGGTGCAGAGGGGGGTGCAGGGCAGGGGCCCTGGGAGAGAGTTTGGGTGTCAGGGGAGGGGGGCTCAGGCCAGGGAGTTGAGGCAGGGGAGGAGGTGTGGGGTGCTCCTGGCAGAAGCACTAGGAGGCTCAGTGTGTTGCCTCTGCCCACAGGCACCACCCCTGCAGCTCCCAATGGCCACAGTTCCCAGCCAATGGCAGGTGCTGGGGCCAGAAAC